TTGAGTGGTTTCTTGTAACTTTAACTTTTATTTAGCATAGGGATAAGGACAAAACATCGCACTATGATTTCATTGGTATGGGGATCTCCCAGGTAAGGAAACTCTCTCTACCAATGCAGGTCCGCACCTTTTCTGCAACCTGTCACCTTAGAGAGTTACCTAGAGCACTAAAGGATTAAGGGACTTGCCCAGGGTCACACAGCTCATTTGTGTCAGAGGTAGGGCTTGAACCCAGGTCTTCCTGGCCAGCTCTCTACCCTAACATGCAGCTTTTTTAATACTAATGGATTATTCTGAATTTTTGTATTCTTTTTCCCTTGCAAATTATCCTTCCTTCTCTTTACATCCTTTCTTCTTCCTCCAACCTAACATAGTAGGTTATTCTCTATAGAACTGCCCTCTGAGCCAGGGAGACCGATTCAAATTGTGTCTCCGACACATACTGGCTGAGTGGTCCTCGGCAAGTCGCTTAACTTCTCAATCCTCTAGGGCCCAGAGAATAGACCCTAAGTTGTGGAGAGGGTGCCAACCTGCATTGGTGAAGGGAGTTTCTTCATTCAGGGAATTTCCTAGCTCAATGAAATTACAAGTCCAGTCTCTATCTCTAAATAAACCCTAGAAAATGAACTTTTGGAGGTCTAGGGTAAGTAAAGACCGGGATAAAGGGGAAGAAAGAACTTGTTCATTTGGTGAAGGTTGCTACTGCAGTAGAAAGGAGGAAGGATGGGTAGGGGTTGAGTGCTACAACTCTGAGCCTAGGGAATCAATTGGCTCAGAGGCCAAGACCGTCCAGGAGGCTCCCCAGGTTCTAAGTTCTCAAGGGACTCCCTTCTCCTCTTGTTGCTGCTAGAGCCATAACTTCTTCTCCTATTCTATTTTTTCTAATTACACGTAAAGACAATTTTTAACATTCATTTTTTATATAAAATTTTGAGTTACAAATTTTCTCCCTCCCTTCCCTCCCCCCCCCAAAAACAGCAAGCAATTTGATATAGGTTATATATGTGCAATCATGTAAAACCTATTTCCATATTAGTCATGTTGCCGTAACTTCTTACTCAAGTTAGTGTCTGCTTCTTCAACATACCCTGAACTCTATGGAGTTGAGTCATGAGGGAAATTCAGAAAACAGTGAGAGGTGAAAGCCCTGGGAATAAACGTAAAGGTTCCCTGGTGTAGTTCCAATTAGAGGAGCCTGAGCATTGGCCCATGGCCAGATCCTTCATAGCACTCAGGAAGGAGGCTAACATTCATACTGCAAAGTGCTTTGCATAAGCCTAATAATAAGGAGAGCTGGGACTTGAAGGCAGTTCTTCTCATTGTCCCATAGATGAGGCCGATAGTCTCAGGCATATCTGGGAACTCAAGAGACCTAGGTTCTACTTTTAGCTGCCCCACTACTTACTCACTGAATAAACTTACACATGTCAGAGACTCAAAGAATAATATGTCTTTGAAAAAAAAAGAATAATAATTCTTTGGGGATGGAAGAGACCTAGGAAGTCATCTCATTCAAACCCCTCTTGTTAGAGATGAGAGATAGCATAGTATTGAGGAAAGATCATGGAATTTAAAGCTAGAGGACCTGGGTCTGAATCCTAGTTTGGTTGTTTAGTAAATTGTATGACCTGGACAAATTACTTAATCTTTGGGCCTCAGTTTCCTCATATATAAAATGAAATGTTTGGAATTAGAGGAGCTCAGTTCAAATTTTGGCTCTGTCACATTACCTGTGCAATCTTAGCCAAGTCACTTAGCCTTTTTTGGACCTCAGTTTCCTCATTTGTAAAATGAGGATCTCGGCGACCTCTAAAGTCCCTCCCAACTCAAATCTATGATGAACAAAATAAATTAAAAAGCATTTATTAAGAGTTTACTATGTGCTAAGCATGATGCTAGGTTCTGAGGATAAAATACAAGAGCAAAGAGTCCCTGCCCTCAAGGCCCTTACATTTTAACATAGGGAGACAGCATATACAAAGGAGTGGTGGCCAGAGAGGGGTGTTTTGATTTGGGAAGTTACAGAGATATTGTGCAGAGTTATAAGTGATTAGAATGACATCCTTCGAAGGAGCAATGGCAGAATGAATTTGACTACAGTTGTGGAATTGGAAATGGGGTAAAGGTGTTGCTTTAGAAAGTGGCACCAGCAAGGTAGTGAGAAGATGACTAGAGAGTAGAAAGTAACATAAAGTATGCTTCTTTGTTGTTCAACTGTTTTCAGCTGTGTTTGACCCTTCATGACCCCATTTGGGGTTTTCTTGGCAAAGATACTGAAGCGGTTTGCCATTACCTTCTTCAGCTCATTTGACAGATGACGAAACTGAGGCAAACAAGGTTAAGTGACTTGCCCTGTGTCACACAGCTAGTAAGTGTCAAGTGTTTGGTCTGAGATGGAATTTGAACTCAGGTCCTCCTGACTTCAGGGTCCGTGCTGTATCCACTATGCCACCTAGCTGCCCCCACCATAACCTTTAAGGGCCCTCAGCCCTAAATCTGTATATGCCTGTGAAATGGGTAAAGAGCCTGTTGAAAATCAGAAAACCATCAATCACTCTGGAAGCTCCCTATGAGAACAGTATTCATGTCACTATGTCACACTGCTCCTTGTAAGTTTCCTAAGCTGACTGAGTTTTTCAGTCAGTAAAATAGGGAAATAGTATCTGTTCTACCAACCTCATAGAATTGCTGTGAGGATCAAATGAGATAATTTATGTGCAAGTGAACCTTAAAGAAAAACAACCTACACTAACCATAATGGATTATTTCTTCTATAATTCAGAAGTCATTCCAAGATCATTACTAGGCCCCTGCTCTTCACGTGTCATAGGACAGCATTGTAAAAACCACCACCACCACCACCACCTGATGATTCTGATTGGATTCTGGATTAAAAAGTAAAGTCACGTGAAAAGAGAGAGGGGGATTGCCCTAAGTGTAGGGTGTTTACTAGTAAACAGGCGAAGGCTCTCAGCCATCTTGGAGTTCAAAGCAAATCCCCAAAGTCATCAAGGATCTTTGGATGTAAATATTGACCACTGAAAATTGGGAATCTGGAAATAAATTCGGTTTCATCTGTTTCCAGTACTGGCTGAAAATAGAGACCTCTTCGACCAGAGGACAGGAGCAGCAGAGAGTGATGTGATCAGACCTCTTCGGTGATATATACTCACCAATCTGCCCTGTGCTTACATTCGATAGACATTTAATAAATGCCTCCTTGTTGTCTTCCCTGCTGGAATGTAAGTTTCTTTCTGGTAAGGATTGTTTTATTTGTTGTCTTTGTACCCCCACCCAGCACAGTGCCTGCCACAAAGGAAAAGATTATTGATTGATTACTTTGTGCCAGGCACTGAATTAGGTGCCAAAACTGAATGTTGTTTTCCCAACGGGATTCTCTTTTGGGAAGAAAATTTCTCACTGTGAATGATTAAATTGGCTTGAAGCACCAGTCAATCTTGCATGAGTTTAGGCTGCTGTGACTCAGTTTCCTCCCCAGCCTGAGCAATAAATAGATAAATGGAGTCTTGAGGCTGCACACCTGCAAGCCAAGGAGTACAGAAAGGAAATAGAAAACTCCAGGCCTCCCTTTTTCATCATTACCCTTCTATCCGCTCCGCCCACTACACAGGGCTTACCCCAAATTCTTAAAATGCTTAAGGATAGAGAGCCCATTTTTTTGTTTGTTTGTTTAAAATGCATATTCCTTCCCTCTCAACCGGTGCAGCCCAACCACTAAAACAAACAGATAAAGGCCAACAACCCCTGCAAAGGTCTGTACCCTAGAACCATCCCTCTCTCCTCCACCCTCCACGATTTTAAATGATATGCTATGTGTTCCAAGACTGTTCCCCGAGGCATGATGAGTCAATCATTTCTGCTATGTAGTTTCATTATACTTAGTTTGAGGTTCACTCCTCACCACCAGAGAGCACTGCGATGTTTGCTAGCAATTCTCAGGGCCAAAGGGATTTGGACCAAGAACAACAAACTGAACATTGGATTAAACTCTGCGGAAAAAACTTCTCGCTGAAAAAAGGATTTCCCAGAGTGCTCTTGCCTGGCCAACCTCTGGTTTTACACATTGGCTCACCCATTGTTCTAATGAATTCTTCTCTTAATGCAGCCCTAAGCCTTTCTTAAGACAATGTGTAATCTATCCCTAAAGCCTTTTTTTTTTAAAAGGGGTGGTGGTGAGTATGGGAGGAAAAGCACAAGAGTCTCTTTTCTACCTGCTCACCTGCTTTTTAGAGGAACAACCAACCAAAAATAGACATTGAAATCTATTAACATAAAGCATTGCTCTAGTATGGGGATACCAAGATATGTAAATCTAATTCCTGACTTCCAGAATTTTCTAACCCATTTGGTAAAACAAGACACCAAAAGGCAGTATGCTGGATTTAGAGTCTGAGGCTCTGGATTCAAATCTTGCCTCTTCTATTTACTAGCAATGTGATTTAAAGAAGTCCCTTTACCTCATGGGGTCTCATTTTCCTCACGTATAAAATGAAACGGTCAGACTAGCTCAGTCTTGAGGTCCCTTCTGGTTTTAAATAGATGATTCTGTGAACATAAAAAAGTTAAATGACAATTCAACTGAAAAGATGTCAAAAGCAATACCCAGGATTAACTATGAAACGGATAGTGTGGAAAGTAACATTCATTCAACATCCTCAAAAAATGGCATCCTGATGTGGATAAAACATTGTGCTAAATGTTGAAGGAGATTAAAAATAAACATATTCCCTGTCTCCTCATGGAACTTCTACTCTTGCAGGAGAATATGTAGATGTACCTATGGCCCATAGCATTGTGAAAGCAGCTCTGGATTCACAAGGACCTGAGTTCAATCTTGAAGATTTCTCAATAATTATTACTCTCTATGGCACCCCCAACCCAGCAATCATTTGTGGGAACATCTGAATTTGACTCACTTTAACTCTCCCCTAGGAGTTTTCCATTTACTGTCTGCAAGCAACAGATGCTACCAAGGCATCTCAATTTAAAGAAACTTTATTACAAGGTATGAGGGAATACAGAAACGGAATGATTACAAGTAATACCTCTTATGTGAAGCATCCCATCATTCCTGCCACTTCCTCTGTGGTTTGGGTCACAGTCCCTTCAGGAGACTCACAACACCAACAAAGAAAAGTTCCAGTAACCCAAGTGCACTCACTGCTCCTAGGCTGCCCCATTCCTTGTGAGCTGCCCATTGACTCCTCCCTGAGGTTCAGGCCATTCTGTTACTTCCAGCTTGCCTCAATCACTTCTGGCCAGGAGTCTTGAGTGGCCTCCAGCTATTGCAGCTGGCTCACCTTCCTCATTTCTGCCACCTCCTTGGAAGTTGCTCTGTCCTCCACACGGTTCATACTTTCAGAATTCCTACTTTCTGTGTACTCACTGTGGGTCCACAGCATTACAGGAAAGTGAATCTTTCTGTAGAAGACCTGTGTCTTGGGCACCAACTTTGAAAAAGGATATTGATAAGCTGGAGAGGATCCAGAGGAGAGGGCAAGTAGGATGGAAAGGAGGCTGAGGTTCTTACCATATGAGGACCACCTGAAGAAAGTGGGGTTATTTACCTAGAAAAGACATTGTGGGGGGTGGAAATGATAGCTATCCAAGTATCTGAAGGGCTCTTATGTGGAAAGATTAGACTTGTTCTGCTTGGTCCCAGAGGGCAAAAGAAGTAATTGGTAGAAGCTGTAAAGAGGTGAATTTTGTTTTTTCCTAACAATTAGTTCTATCCAAGAGTAGGAAGGGCTAATTCTGGAAGTAGTGGGTTCCTACTCACTGGAAATCTTCATGCAAAGACTAGATGATCCCTTGTTGGGGTACATTGTAGAATTAAAGTATAGGTCAGACTTTGTGTCCTTTGAGGTCCCTTCCAACTCTGAAGTTCTGTGAATCTGTGTGTGTGTGTGTGTGGGAAACATGCAATAGGAATTCAGAGTACATGAGATCACTCTGTGAGGGAGCTTGGTTTGGGAATGCCACATTGACAGCAAAGGCCAAATATTGTATTACTTTCTTCCTCTCTCCTTTTTCTCCCCTGTACTGGGTCATTTACTTTCTGTCATTATTACTACAGAACCATGACTTCCTCTAACAAGCAGATAAAATCTGGCAAGTTACTGAGTAGAATAGGTTAAATTTGAGAACCGAAGCAACTTGCGGGGAGGGGGAGGAGAGAGGTGGCAAATTGCTGTCATAAAAATGTGAGAAGGGATATATACACCATGTTGATCAGGGGGTGGGAGTGAAGGAAGGGGGCATAAAACAAATCACAGTGGGGTGGGGACAGAATGAAGTCACAGCTCAGAGGTCAATAGCAGTCAGGAACAGTGGCCCCAAGGAGATTCCCAACTCTAACTACTATACAGCCCCCTTCTAGTTAATCATTTCCTGTCCTTTCTTCCTCTTCTCCTTTTACCCAAAGGATTGCAACATCAGTCAGTAAATCAACCAACCCCAGTCCCCCACCCTCTCCCTCTTTACTTGATCTGCTCCCTCCTCCCTCTTCCCTCTAGCTTCATGTTTTAATCTTATTTTTACAATGAGCCATGTCTTTGAGTCAAAAAACGACAATGATATTTTTTTAAATGTACTACTTACCCCAAAGCAGCTACATTTCTGGCACTGTCCAAGACACCCTCATGGGATTAGCTTCCTACTTTGACAGCCATTTCCAGAGAGGGCCCAGCCTCATCGTGTACAATGACACCCTTGCAGAATGTGACTTGGCCTAGAATTTAAACATTGCCACCATGCAGAAAGCTTACTGGACTTGGAATCATTGTAAAAAGCTTTGAATTTCTTTTCTACCACTTTTTAATTGGTTTCTATGCCTCAAGTTTCTTTCTTTTCAATCTGTCCTTTACACAGCAGCCCATGTGGCTACTCCTAAAGCTCTGTTCTAATCATGCCACTCCCCTATCTGATAAGTTACACTGGTTGTTTCCACATTGTCCTGGCACTCAAATACAAACTCTTTTATTAGGCATTTAAATAAAGCCTTTCCTAACCTTTCTCCAGTATGCTTTCCCAAACTTATTAGTTATTGCTCTTCTTCGTACATTCCTTCTTGCTATTCTTCCTAGAAAGTTTCTTCTCTCTATCTTTGCCCAAGCTTTCCCCTCATGCCTGAAATACATTCCCTCCTTACTTCTGCCAGAGAGAGTTCCCAGTTACCAACAAATCTTAGCTCCAATGCCATTTCCATATATCACAGTGTTTGGCACATAGTAAATGATTAATAAATGCTTTTTAATTGACCATTTGACCACAAGCAAGTCATTTCTCTGGGCCTTGGTTTTTTTCGCCAGCAATACATGAGTATTTATAGCTGCCTAACCTACCCTTGGAAATTCTGTGAGGAAAGCATTTTGTAAACCACAGATCCACGTAAAAATATCATCATTATTATTATTGTAACAGAAGCTACAGTCATTGGATTACCCTTATTCATACTCTTCTTAACTGCCCCTTCCTCTCCCAAGTCCTACTCTATCCCTTCTTTTCCACCTATCCACATTCTACCACCATCCATCATGGTCCAAGTCATGCCACCTCTGTGAAATTTATCCTGTCAACTTATGGTGAACTTACTCTCACAGTTTTGTATCTGGAAGGGCCCATAGATGAGGAAACAAGACCAGAAAGAGTGAGATGTCCAAGGTCCTACAAGTCATAAGGAGCAGAGTTGGAATTCAATCTCATCTGCTCATTTTGGTAGCTTAGTACTTGCTAGATTTTAAGGCCCTCAAGGTCAGGTATTTCCTTTTTTGTCTCTGCTGCCAGGGTCTACCACAGACTTCAGCAAATGTTAATATTTAAAGATAATCTGAAGAGAATCATTTAATAGTGTTCTTTATTTGTATCCAAGAAGATAGCTGAGTAATAGACCCTGGGACAGACAAAGTCACTTCATAACCAAGATTGGTGGACCTAAGTATCATGGCAGAAAATGTGTTGATGCCTTGCTATCCCCTTCTCCATTTGAGGGGTCCTGAGCATTTCTAAATGAAGTCTGCCCAGATGAAACCTACCATGCTGCTTCTTCAGGATTAACTTTCTGGGTCACGTATTTGAAGAAGGGTGTTGGTGTTGACAGATTCAAGGATATGTTTTTCCAGTGCAGTGATGGGTTATAATGAGCAATCATCATAATATGTATCTCAATATATCATCAATCTATCACCCGCTTTTATGATCAGATGCCCAAATGGTGAGATTTCCGGATAAGGCTGTGGTTTGCAAGCACCATCTTTGGCAGATGTCCTATCATCTGTGAAACAAGGAAGACGATCCCTAAGGTCCCTCCAAATCCTGATCTACATTCAGTCACTAAACTTTGTTTAGTGCCTACTAAATGGAAGGCATTGTGGGGGATGCAAAGAAGGGCAAGACAGTCCCTATTCCCTGGGCTCACTGTCTGAAGGGGGAGACAACATGAAAGCAAATATGTACAAAAAAAAGATACACACGGGATGAAGTTGAAAATAAATGACAAAGGGAAGGCGTTAGAGTTAAGGAGGATCAGAAAAGCTTTCTGTAGAAGATAGGATTTTAGCCTGGACTTAAAAGTAGCCAGGAGGTGGAAGGGAGGGAGAGCATTCCAGGTTTAGAGGGGCAACCAGTGAAAACGCCAGAGAGTGTTTTGTTCAAAGGCAAGGACGCCAGGGTCACCGGATCAGAGTCCAAGGTGACATACAGGGAGTAAGAAGCCTGGAAAGGTAGGAAGGGGACAAGTCATGAAGGGTTCCGAACATCAGAGGATTTTGATATTTGATCCTAATGTTGTCAATACATGATTGTGAGGGTGGTACACCCTGATTCATTCATTTCCCTCGATCACTGCAAAGCCAGGACTCCCAGCTTTCTGGGTAAGAGGGAGAAGCTCACGAATTAAGGTCACACTGTGCCCCAAGACTCCTCTGGTCCGAGAAACCTGAACTGGGGAAACGAGGCACTTCGAGGGCTAACTTTTCTACAGCACTCCCTCAAGCCCCTCCTCCCTGCGCTTTGGCGTGCGCTGGGGGCTCACGCCAGGACAGGGGCGGAGCTGGGTGGGGTGGAGGGAGGGCGGAGCCGAGTGGGTGGAGGCCCATAGCCCGCCCCGCAGTCCGCGTCCGCCCCCGCCCCCGTGGGAGCGGTTCAGAGAACCCGGAGCTCGGAGTTCCCCGTCCTCCGGAACGGGCTGTCGGAAAGACCAGCGGGGCGCGTGGGAAAACCCGGCGCCGGATCGTGCAGTTGTCTTTGACGCGGAGGGCTGTGGGACGCAACCGCCACCGCCTCCAGAGCGCCGGGCGGAGAGGGAACGGAGACCGAACCGCTGCCGCTGCCCCCCTCCCCCGCCCCCAGCCCTCCGGCTCCCGGAGCCTCCGCTTCCTCCCCCTAGCCCCCTCCCCCGGCCATGGAGTGCCCTCACCTCAGCTCCAGCGTCTGCATCGTCCCGGATTCGGCCAAGTTCCCCAACGGCTCCCCGTCGTCGTGGTGCTGCAGCGGTGAGTGCCGCCCCACCGGCCCCGGGCCGCTCGCTCTGCCTTCACCCGAGGCCGCGGCTCCGCCGGGCCTGGCCCGCGCGGAGGGGGGGGGGAGAGTGTGCGTGGGTGCGTGGGTGCGGGGAGCCCGGCCAGGCCCAGGCCAGGGCAGAGCCTCCTTTGTTTCGTCCCGGCCCGGGGAGGAGGCGCCGGGACTCGCCTTTGGGGCGCTCCCTCGGACTGGGGAGACGACTGTCGGGTCGTGTGTGTGCGCGCGTGTGTGTAGCTGAAACCCCCCCCTTCCCTTTGTATCTGGGCGCCCCCCTAGCCCTGTCCCCAGTCTGCAGAGTTGGTACAAAGCCCTTCCTGCCCCCCCTCCCCCCGTCCGTCAGGCTCCTCCCGCCCCCTCTGTCTCCCCGCACCCCGCTGCAGGACCACACGTGCGCCGCTTCCCGTCGTTGGTCATCTTCTCGGACCCGGGGCAGGAAGAGCCAGCGCCTGGCTCCCGTTCCCTTCCCCCCCGGCCAGCTTTTGTCTCGTCCCTTCTGGCGGTGGCCCCTAGCACGGTTCTTGCTGTCCGGCACATGGGACGGGGGGAGGCCTAGCCAATGACCCCTGTCCCCCACTTCTCCCCCGAGATTGACTGCTCTCACTCGCCCGTGAAGCTCAGGCGTCCCGAGCCCCCTCTCCAGGGCGAGGGGGGCAGCCCAGAGAGCCTTTGAGTCATTATTCACAAAGTTCAGGGAGGTGGGGGATTAGATTCTTTACCTGAGCCACGGTTCACGAAGTTTTAAAAATAAGTAGGCTGCTTTTGAAAGAGAAAACAAAACTGCCTATTTCTTTTCTTTTCTTGGAGGGGTGGTAAGGTCATATGTATTCTCTCTTTTTGAGGAAGGGGATCTTTACATAACGTATGGGGAACCCAAGAAGGAACACCGTGTTCTTGAATTCTTTAGTACAGGTGTTATAGAAATGCCGGAACATTTATTTCTAGGCTTTTAAAAATCGTGTAGCTTAAGAATTGGGGCAACTTGGGTCGACGGTAGTACCTCCTTATTGTCTGTAGTTTGCACCATTGAAGCTACTCTGATTACTTCCTGGTAGAGGGCACTGGTGATGCCGCTTCAGCCTTTGTGTGTCATCTTCGAGGTTATCTGTTAGTTGTTTGCATTTTTAAAAAAGGACATGAATTTAAAGTAAAAAACACTAAGTAGTGTGTTATGGAAAAGTCGTGTTACAGAAAAAAACTATAAGCTGAAATCGTATGACATTTTCCTATTTTAGACTGGAGACAGGGTAACGGGATGTAGAATCCTTTATAAAGTTTTTTTTCCCTTGTCAAAACACTAGATTTTTGAAATGTTGATTTGTTTTTTTTTTTAAATTCACATCAGCACAAAGAGAAATCTATCACAGTCTAAGGAAACCTGTTGTTTGACTGAAATCTGAAGTTTGTTGGAGCAGAGGTGTGCTATTATGCTTGTTTTTGTTAAACCAGATTTTCTTTCTCCGTAAAGATTACAGGTTAGTTTATTTTACGGTGGGGTGTTGCAGTTCTTCAGCAAAAGGGAACAAATTTAAACAAAGTATTTTCTATGTGTAAATTTAGCCTTAAAATCTTTGGGCTCATAGGATCTTACATTTAGAGCTAGAAGGGACCTCTGAGGTCCTTGGGTCCAGTCCTCTTATCTTACAAATGAGGAAATTGAGGCTGAGACATAAGTGACTTGTTTGTCCCGGGCACACAGTGAGTTTAAGTGTGTGAGGCAGAATCCAGACTTAGGTCTTCCTGACGTTAAGTCCAGCACTCTCTTCACTGCATCACACTGCCAATGTGGGAATTCAAACCTGAAGAATAGTAAAATTCCCAATACTAATCTTTACTAAACTAGTTGTAATCCAAAGTGATGGAATTTTCACACTTGTTATCCTGTTTTCAAAGAAAATCATACCAAATGTTAGGATGAATAGTACCTTTTAATACATACTCAGTCTAAAAAAGGGAAACATGGAAGTGAACAGATAGTGCCATAGTTAGTCAACCAGTCAAATTTCAATTTAATAAAAAAGAAGTATAGAAAATACAGCCTCTCAAGAAATTAACAGAATCAAAATGAAGTACTGTATTTAAATTGTATAACTTTAGAGAATTTTTCAACTGAAATATTCTTTTGCAGAAACAAGAATAAACTTGTAATATTTGGCAGACATATTTAGCAGTTAGGGTAATTTCTAGCCACTAGGTAGGACGGCATCTTTACATCTTGCCTCAGATTTGCTTCCATCTGCTTTAAAAACTGTTGATGGTGTTGCTAGTTACTTGAATATGTAGAACCAATGTCTCAAGTTATTACTTTAGGATTTTTTTTCCCCGATTGGAGCATTTCTTAACCTTTGGGCCCCTGGACTTATTACAAGGGGTATGAAAATCTATAAAATAAGCACATCATCTTTAGACTAAATAGCAGGATTATAAAAAAAATACATTATATATATTCATTTCCAAACGTGTATTTAGCTGTTATGTTTGAAAACAAATTAATTAAAATTATCATAGCTTTTTTTCCATTGAGAAAAAGTATATAAACAGTGAATAATGTATGGGGATCCATGAAATGTTTTGTCCTTAAAAATGGCTCCTCATACTTGATTAGGACGATTCTACTTTATAATCATGAATTAAGGTGTGTTTTACTTTGGCTTCCCATCCAAACATTCTGTCTTTTAGTTGTTCTAGAGTGGTGCCATACAGCTTGATCTGGTTGTTTTAACAAGATCCTGCCTGTTTCAGTGATTAGTAATTAAATTAATAATTGAATTCAGGAAATCTTTGAGTCATAGAATCATAGGATTCTTAACCATCTCACTATTTTAAGATGGTCAGATATTGATACTGTATTTATACATAAGAAATCTTGGATTCTCTGGTTTGTAAGCTTTCAGGGTGAGAGGGTAGAGTGCATGGTGCCTGATACCTTGAGGTACCATTGCTAGATGAGTGTCTAAGTATGCCTTTATTGAAAGAAAAATCCTTTTTTAGAATGGCAACAATAAGAAGTAGTGTGTTATACCAGAGCCTTACTATTATCCTTAGAGTTCATGCAGCATAAGTGTCTTATAAAGGAAACTATCTTTCAAACATGTCCTCTTACAGTTTAAATGGGGCCCAAGACTTACTTTATGTTGAATTCTGCGGGGTTGGATGATGTAAATAGTAATTATCTTTATGGTGTATACTTCAGAATCAAGGATTATTCATTTTGCCACAATCTGTAAAACACTATGCTAGACTGTAATTATGCAATGCTTTTCTTTTTATCATTTGAAGGACACTTAATTTCCTTTTATCAGACATCTGACCCAGAGAAATGTTCAGGGTTCGGAGACTGGTAGCTAATATCAATAGTATCTTTATAGAAATTTGCAAAGCTTTTGAAACATGTAAGTTATGAAGACTTGTTAAAACTGAAGGGACTTTTTATGTTTCGGGAACTTTAAAGTATCTTGACAGAGGTAACTTTTAAGAGGAATGTTGGAAGATGTGATATAGTACACTTGTGGTTTTTTATTCTCCTTGAATTTTAGATTTTGGGGACATATTTTGATCAGGTATATTCTTTAGATTCTGTACTTTTTTTTGTGGCCAGTGTTGAAAACGGGCACTCCTTAAAAAAAATAAAAAAGAAAATAGGCACTTTTAGAGAATTCATGTGAAGAAACAGTGCCAACTATTGCTATTTTGATGATAGGAAGAATAAGTTTATATTACCAAGATGAGAAATTGCCTAGGTGAAATAATGGATTATTTTTTGTTATATTTGCCCCTCAGATTTGAGTACTTAATCTGTTGAAAAGCATCTGTTTTCTACTCTTCCAGAAGGCAGGGCAGAATTTTTTTCCTTCTTGCTATCTTAAAGGGTAGGATTAATTATTTATGCATGGTAGATGAAATGTTGTCACTGTTTTGCTCTGATTTTAAACCAATCAGATTTATGTTGATGACTCTAGACTTTGGGTGTTGTCTTACATAATAGCATCATGGGATTTAGAAGAGATATTGAGAAATCTTCTGATCCAGGCAAGATTAGAGGAAGTGACTTGCCCAAGATCCCCCAGGCAGTAAAGAGTTGTGCAGGAATCAGAACCTAGGTCCTCTATTCCAAGTCTTTCCACTTCAGGTATTATTATCATCACACTTTTACTAATGAGAAAACTGGGCCTCTTAGAAGTTAAATGACTTGTTCAAGGTCACCCAGCTTGTTGTGACATTGATTCCAAGTCTGTTCAGAATCACTGCCTCTGGAACTGACATTGACAGTATCTTGCAAGTAATTACAAAAGAATTCCTTGCAAAATAGTTCACCTGTCTTTCCTCCTGCGGTGACACTGCCAATACTACAAAGGGTAAAGTAAATTGGAACTCTTTGACATTCCAGTGAGCAAGTGACCACCTGCAAAGCTGTTAACACCAATCCAATCAGCAAATACCCACATATCTAAAGCAGAAAGAATGTTATAATAGGTATAAAAGGAATTAAATAAATTTTTCCTTTTACCTGTTTATGGCAGTTGCATGAAATATATTCCTTTTGAACCTGGTGCAGTCATATGTTTTGTCTTTATTTGATGCATTATTATATGCAGCTGTATGAAGAGGGTTGATAGGGCTAGATAGACAAATAATAGTGAGTGGAGACAAGGAACACTAGGTGGGTGACAATTTCTGGAGAGCTGCTTTATATAAAATTTTTAAAAAATAAAACTTAAGTATTGTCTTTTTAGCTTTGTATTAAAACCATTTGTATTTTTGTTCATCTTAAATAGCCTCATTCAACTTACCTTCAAAACGCCCCATTTCTTCTTCTTTTTTTGTTTAGGCAATGGGGTTTAGTGACTTGCCCAGGGTCACACAGGTGCTACCTGTTATGTGTCTGAAGTAGGATTTGAACTCGGGTCCTCCTGAATGCAGGGCTGGTGCTCTACCCACAGCGCCACCTAGGTGCGCCTCAGCCCCTTTCTTCTTTGAAGAAGACATA